AGGAGGCGGATTGTAACCTGGAGGAGGCTGGTTGTAGTTCGTCGGCGGAGGAGGATGAACTTGCTGCGTAGTCATCATGTGTGTCTGAGTTGAGACGAACTGTTGTTGCGGCTGTTGGGTGACAACCACAGCGCCGGGTGTACGATAGCGGTAGTACGGACAGCAAGCACAGCAGAGGCAGGATACGATGGAGATGATGATGGCGAAGAAGATAATTGTACCGATCACAGCGGCTGCAATAGCACCGCCGCTCCATCTACAGTACGACGAACATACTCCCCCACAACAATCCTCTCCACTGTCACACTGGTAATCGGACGAACAAGAACAAGAAGACCAACTGTCAATGCATTTGCTATCATATGTACAGCACTTCTCGCTGCTGTCACATTCGAAGTCGAATGAACAGGAGCAAGAAGACAAACTGCTGATGCACTTGCTCTTACAGCACTGCTCACCACTGTCACATTGGAAGTCGTTCGAACAGGAACAAGAAGACGAACTACTTATGCATTTACTGTTGCAGCACTGCTCGTTCGTTCCACATTGCGAGTCGAACAAACAGCCGTTGCATTTTTGTCTACATACGTTATCTGTACAACAGGACTCAAGGAAGGAACAATCGCTGTTGTCGGTACAGATGGCGGCACTTCTCAAGGCAAAGGAACAGACGAAAAGAAAGCATAAAACTTTCTTTGAAGCCATTGTCTTGACAATTCTCAATGGCGTGTGTTCGATGTGAGATAATTATTAGATACGGTTGGCTGATTACGAAATGTTCTCCAGACCCTTTGCCATGGAAACCCTCGTAGGGAGCATAGATGGTGGAAGAGAGACAGGGGAAGAGTAAAAGGAAATCGGATGGGGAGGTTGAACGAGAATAGGAAAAAAGCTATATTTTACCAAATAAGGTCTTGAAAACGCGCTGCATATGCCATAATATTACACTGTAAAACAGGGCAATGGTTGTTTTTCAGGCTTGACTATCAAGAGGTATCAAAGAAGGAAAATTGGCGTTTCATTTAAACTGAAATAGCGCAGGGTTTTCGACAGTTTTGTAAAGTAACGGACATGTTCGTGAAAGTCCCGGACGTGACATAATAAAAAAAACTAATAATAATAAAAAATCCTTCAAATATTGAAATCAAAGTACCGGACATGGAATGGAAAACGACCGGACGAAACTTCCAGCCTCCGGCCTCAAACGAAAACCCTGATAGCGTACAAATTATTTGCGATATCCCTATAAAATTCTTCATTTTCTCGAAGCTTAATAAACACTGATTTCGAACATCTCTCTTTTTTTTATGACCAGAATGCCATTGAACAGAATGGGAGCTTATTCCTTCGCGCAGAGGCGTTCTTCGTATTCCCTTTCACCAGAGCTTGATACAGGCACGTCAGGAAAACACGATCTTTTGTACGTACCCTCGTATTCGCTTTCACTAGAACTTGATCCAGGCACGTCAGGGACACACGGTCTTTTGGTATCTTCTGCGCTTTTCCACTGTTCGAGACTTGAGTCAAAATAAAGTCTACGGTGATGATGATACTGCGTAGTGGATAATAATTCTGGCAATGACCACACCGCTGCCTACGTCTTTCACGCTTCTTCTTGCGATCTGTATGCAAACTTTTCCTTTTTATTCTAAATGATTCCTTTCTCTTCGTCAAGTTGGCAGACTAACAAATCGAAGCTCATCAACTAGAATGTTAAGTGTCATGTCACCACGCGCATGCGGCTAGCCGACCGTTACCATTGGCAACAAATGAGTCAGCATCTTTTACCAGAGAGCGGGAAATTTGTGGACAAGGAAAGTTGTCGACACACGATCCACATCACAGTCCGTAATTTTGCTCGGATTGTTCTCCGACTGCAGCTGTCTGTCATGGATACATCAAACAGGTATTAGATTCCGAAACCCCCAGATCTTCAACGAGAAATACATTTATCGTCCCAGATATCGTGCGAAAACTACTGGCAGAAGTCTCGAATATTCGCGACGAATATAAGCAGTTGAGGAAGGAGATGGAAGGTCTAAAGGCAAAACGAAAGACGAAACTGTCACAGAAATCGAGAGACCACGATTCTGAGTGCTCGGTAAGTATAGTTATTCTCTTGATTTTAGACGTGTAGGTGGTTTGCAACCAGTCTCTAGAGACACAGGTAACAATGGTGAAAGGAACAAATGCTGGTGGACGAACAAAAGAAGCTAATGAGATATCTATTGTTTGCGTCCACCAACATGACGGCAATGACGTAACGTGGAAGCCACCTATAACAGAAACTCTGATTTGAATTTGCCGCTCCATGAACAAACGATTATGTGTGACATTTGAGATTCGAGATTGGTATAGTCAGATCAACCTCTAGTCTTGCCTTCCAGAGTGACTACAAACTCGNCTGTCACATTCGGAGTCCAACGAACAGGAACAAGAAGATAAACTACTGATGCATTTGCTATTATGTGTACAGCACTTCTCACCGCTGTCACATTCGGAGTCGATCGAACAAGTACAAGAAGACAAGCTACTGATGCACTTGCTGTTACAGCACTGTTCGCCAATGCCACATTCGGAGTCCAACGAACAAGAACAAGAAGACGAGCTACTGATGCATTTGCTCTTACAGCATTGCTTGCTCGATCCACATTGGAAGTCGTACGAACAGGAGCAAGTAGACCAACGACTAATGCATTTGTTCTTGCAGCACTGCTCGTTCGTTCCACATTGCGAGTCCAACGAACAGAAGTTGCATCGTTCTCTACATACGCTATCTGTACAACAGGACTCGCTAGAGGAACATTCGCTGTCGTAATAACAACTGGTAGCACTTCCCAAGGCAAAGAAACAGACGAAAAGAAAGCATAAAACTTTCTTTGAAGCCATTTTCTTCTTTACAATTTTCTATGGCGTCTGTTCGATGTGAGATTATAATTGGATGCGGTTGGCTGATTATCAAATATTCTCCAGACACTTTGCTATGTGAACCCTCGTAATGAGCATAGATGATTGTGGGAGGGGGACAGGGGAAGAGTAAAAGGAATCGGATGAGGAAGTTGAAGGGGAAGATGAAAAGCCACGTCATTTTACCAAATAAGGTCTTGAAACGCACTGCATATGCCATGATATTACACTGATAAACATGGCAAATATACGGAGCAATACAATAGCCTCACTGAACAATCCAGACTTAGTTTTCTGTTGTTTTTCAGGCTTGACTATCAAGAGGTATCAAAGAAGGAAAATTTTCGTTTTCATTTAAACTGAAATAGCGTAAAAAGTTATTCGCGATATCCCAATAAAATTCTTCATTTTCTCGAAGCTTAATAAACACTGATTTCGGACATTTTATTTTTTTCACGACTAGATTGCCATTGAACAGCATAGGAGCTTATACTTTCGCGCAGAGACGTTCCACAAGTTTTTGACGACGCTTCTAGTCAATACCCCTGTCTTTTATCGAAACGTGATCTGCACCTATTGAACTAAAAAAATTGTAGCTGAGATTAAGAAGCGAATTTTTGAGCGCGACAGGTTTTTGGTTTTTTGCTTTTCGTTTTGTTTATTTGTTTTTGTTTTTTTTTTTCATGGTCACTAGGTTGTTTGAAATTTTCCTAATGTGGAGGATACGATGCACAGATTAGACCGTAGTATGTTTTTCACAAACTAAAATCAAAATACTAACAAGTGAAATAAAAGTAAAATAATAAATCCCTTATTCGAGGGTTAACATACAACACGAGCGGATATTTTGCTCATATTTACTCGTATTGTTCCCCGCGGATGTCCCTATGGAACTCAAAAGAAACAAAAAAAAAAAAAAAAAAACAAAGCAACTCGTAAGATATCCACGTGTATCATATGTCATAGAATAAGGTATATATAGATAACCTGGTAACGTGGATTTTGGATTGTTTGGTACGCATCAAGTCAGGGCATAGTTAGTTTTGGAAAAAAAAGACCCAAATACTGAACAGAAGTCCTAAGGCCCCCACAAATCTGTCAAGCCTGTCATCGATCATACAACAGAAATATAGTCGTTCGTAAATATTAACCTCCGATAAGCTCTGGGGAACCTTTGTTCATCAAATTCTCAATGTTTTTTCGTATTATGGCAACGTGTTAGTTATCTTGTATTTTGCTAAGTTTAAATAAAAATATGTTTTTAAGAATTTAGTTTTTTTTGGACCAAGTTTAGCATTTACTAGAAGAATACCTGATGAGTGGTTTTATTTTCGCTTACCTCATTTTAGATCTTATTCACAAAGAACAATTCACGTTCCAACAAGGGTGGGAACAGCAAGAAATGTTCAAATAACGTACGCACAGCGTTTGACTGAAATCGTGCATGATATGGTGCTTGATTTTGGGCCTCTTGGACTTAGCGTTGAGTGCCTTGGGGAGGGGTGGGGTTGACGTATATATGTATATATATACGTCATATATATATATACATACGTATATATGTATGGTGCATTAAGGGGATAGTCTGAGTGAAAGANTAATAGTTTGAAAACTTTGGAACAAGGAGAGAGTGCTCTGGCAAGGAAAAAATTGAGAACTACTTGCCCTGAAGGGCAAGCTGGAATTCAATAATTTAATTTTATCAAACCTGTTGATGCCAGGACATTCACATCAATTTTGTAATTATTTTTTTATGATAAAAACAAATTGATACGTGTTTATCAGAAATAAGGGTTACTATGTACGCTCAGGGACATCTTCAGTCTATTTAGAGATATGAATATTGATACCTCAAGATGATATAGCAGATTTCTGAAACCCTATTGCCCACAAGCTGATACTTAATTTCTACTTTGACAAATCTATAATTTACTGCTGCAACGCTGTAAACTTCTTAATTGCATGTTACATGTTGTACCTCAAAGAAAATCTTTAAATTACAGCTGTATGACACTTTCAAGAAATTTGCTATAAGAGGCGCAAAAAACTGTGTCTGCATTCTAAATTTCCCATATATTTTTGTGTAACAGATGAAAATGTTTGAGCCTAAAATCGAAATCATACCTTCATGTATATGAGGAAGCTTACGAGTCTTACATTACAACAAAGTGCATAATTTGTCGTTCTCTCGGTATGCGAGCGATGCAAACCTTATGTTAACCTACCTTCGCATTCGCTTTCACCAGAAATTGATCCAGGCACGTCAGGAAAACACGATCTTTTGTACGTAGCCTCGTATTCGCTTTCACTAGAACTTGATCCAGGCACGTCAAGGACACACGATCTTTTGGTATCTTCTGCTGTAATTTCCACCGTACGAGACTGAGTCATAATAAAGTCTACGGTGATGGTGATACTGCGTAGTGGATAATAATTGCTGGCAATGACCACACCGCTGCCTACGTCTTTCACGCTTCCTCTTGCGATCTGTATGCAAACTTTTCCTTTTCATTCTAAATGATTCCTTTCTCTTCGTGAAGTTGGCAGACTAACAAATCGAAGCCCATCAACTAAAATCATGTTACCACGCGCATGCGGTTAACCGACCGTTACCATTGGCAACAAATGAGTCAGCATCTTTTACTAGAGAGCGGGAAGTTTGTGGACAAGGAAAGTTGTCGACACACGATCCACATCACAGTCCATAATTTTCCTCGGATTGTTCTCCGACTGCAGCTGTCTGTCATGGATACATCAAACAGAGAAAATGAAGAGATCAGAGTATTAGATTCCGAAAGCCCCAGATCTTCAACGAGAAATACAGATATCGTCCCAGATATCGTGCGAAAACTACTGGCAGAAGTCTCGAATATTCGCGACGAAAATAAGCAGTTGAGGAAGGAGATGGAAGGTCTAAAGGCAAAACGAAAGACGAAACTGGGCAAGAGTACCATATGACCCCATACATTAATTATGCATTCAGTCTTTGTTCAATTAAAACAATAGCGATAATAACAGAACCTCTGAACAGATTTGAATTTGCCGCTCCATGAACAAACGATTATGTGTGATTTAATATAATGCAGATATTAGGTAAAGTATGTCGACTGCGGTACTGCGGTAGCAGGATTTGATGAATGATTTTTCAGTGGCCGGGTATTCTGAAGTTTAGCCCACCATTGTTATCTGTCTCTAGAGATGGGTTGCAAACCACACGTACGCTGAAGTTCAATTCTGCAGTTCCTTTCACTAAAAATTCTTTCGAAATAAAAAATCGCCTCGACATTTTCTTTAATACGAGTTTGTAGTCACTCTGGAAGGCAAGACTA